AATTATGTTTGGATAAGTGGAGCAGGATGGATGATTCTGTTTTGTTGTAGTCAATTTAGAGAAATGTAGATGACCCAGATTTGTTTTTTACGTGTGGACAGAAGATAAGATGGTAAGAGTCATTCATGTTATTCTAGTACATTCATAAGATACTTTCACCTAGAGTGCTTTCTCTAACTCTAAATTCTGGAGTATTTGTAGTTATGATAGTGTAATTTCAGATTTATATCGGTTAGTTTATGAGGGTGGCAAGTTCTAGAAACTCCCAGATGGCAATTTCAGTACATAAAGTTGGACGATCAGTAATTTATAGATTACATGAAAATTAACACGACATTTCTTTTACATTTATACTACAGGAACAGCAATACTGCTTCAAGCAGCAAGCATTAAGATGTAAGCTCTAAATCTTAAAAAAAGGGAGAGAAAAGTTTAAGTTTGGTAAATTCACTTCTTCAAGAAAAACCTATGACAATACACTACCAGTCAAAAGTTTGGACATGCCTTCTCATTCAATGTTTTATCTATTTTTACTACTTTCTACATTGTAGATATATATGAAGAAAGATATATGGGGTTATACAGCAAAGAAAAAATGATAAATAACTCTAAATATATCTTATATTATAGATTCCTCAAAGTAGAAGAAACCACTACTAAGGAAAAGCAACAAGCAGAAGAGATTTGTTTGGGCAATCCGATCCGGTTAGTTGGACAATCATTTATCTTTTAACAGGACAATGACCACAAACACACCTCCAGGCTGTGTAAGGGCTATTTGACCAAGACAGAGAGCAACAGAGTGCTGTGCCAGATGGCTGGGCCTCCACAGTCAGCATCTCTGGGAACTCCTTCAAGACTGTTGGAAACCATTTCAGGTGATGACCTCATGAATCTCATCGAGACAATGCCAAGGATGTGCAAAGCAGTAATCAAAGCAAACGGTGGCTATTATGAAGAATCGAGACTATAAAACACGTTTTGAGTCATTTCACACTTTTTTGTTTACTACATAATTCCGTATGTGTTCATTCATAGTTTTGATGCCTTCAGTGAGAATTTAAAATGTAAATAGTCATGAAACTAAAGAAAAACCATTAAATGAGGAAGTCTGTCCAAACTTTCGACTGATAGTGTATACATCACAAAGAATTATGACTGTTGCTGTCATTTAAATAAAAAATAAAACACAAATATTTTAATTTTATTTATATAGGGCCAAACAACAACATCTGTTGCCTCAAGGAACTTTATATTGTTAGATAAAGATCCTACAATAATACAGAGAACACACGGAAAACCCAGTCAGTGGACCCCTCTGAGCAACTACTTTGGTGGCAGTGGGAAGGAAAAACCCCATTTTAACAGGAAGAAACCTCCAGCAGAACCAGGCTCACGGAGGACGGTCATCTGCTGTGACTGGTTGGGGGTAAGGGGACTTTATGACCCTTTTCTGTGGGCAAAATACATACATACACCTTACGTGAAAAACATAAAAATAGTAGTAAACTTATCTATTTTTATGCTTGTGGAGTAGATGCACTCCACTTCCACATCGGTTTCATGTCTGCCTCTCTCACTGATTACACTGGAAATGTAATGTTGCTGTATCCACTCTGAAAATTGTCTGCAAACAATAAGGAGCCATGGTGTAAGACAAATGATGACGCACCATCTACTGTAAAAATAACAACTATTTGGAAATCCAGGAAAAATGGTTTGAAGAGATGTTCTTTGTTATGTGGATCTGGATCTTGTTTTTTTGGTTAGATACCGTTTTTAGTTCCACATTATTTTTTGTGTTTATGTTAAAAATGCATAATTACATTGGCGAAACTTAAGTTAATCAGTAAGAGTGTTAACATCACTCGCTATAGCTTTCTAATATCCTAATGCTATAAAGTCTTTGCTGTGAAGCTGAATGCAGATCATTATGTAAAAAAGAAACGCACCCCGGTTCCTGCAGCGTGGAGGACGTGTGCGTTTGGTGTGGATGCCCAGAGTCATCAGGAAGGTTGTGAGCTCAATGTGCGAGATGAAACACAGCTGTGTGAGGTCACGTGACGACAGGTCGCCTGCACAGCTAAGACCCTGAGAGGGAGGGATAGATGCAAACTGCACGC